ATCCATCTTCTATATCAAGACTCAACTCGCTTTATAACAAAAGCAATAAAAATCATCAATGATCAATATAATTTTAATTGAAAGCTATTAATATTTACAGTGTACCTGATGCTATCTTCTAGACCACAATTAAGTTGGCCATAGAGACTTAGCTTGAAAAGCCACACAATCTGCCAAAGCGATCAAAAATCTACATGAGCTAAAGCTAGGTGGTGCAAAACTCTTGTTCAGAAGATCAAACCTCATCTGCCAGCTCGTGATAATCTTGGCATCATTTCCATGAAGAAAAAATAAGCAAAAAGATCAACACAAAAGCAAAGAAAAACTTACTTGTAGTTTGCAATGCGCTGAGATTGCTGGGTCTGGATTTGTGAGCCAATCTAGCATGATGAAGCTTTAGGGCCAGAGCCAGTGGGATTCAACAATATTGATGCCAATGTTGTTGAGACAGAGGCCAAGATCAAGGCATACAACGAGGAAAACTATAAATTAGTAGGTGTGTTTTTGAGAAGAATCAAATATTTGGTCACATACATGCAACACCACTCTCTAAAAAGAGCAAGGCTTCAGTGAAATGAGGTATAATCACTATTGAGAAATAATCTATAATCATAAAGAACAACAAATCATCCATCACCAATAATAACCAAACAAGATCTCTAACAAAGATAATCAACTATCTCAAATAATGATCAATCATCACCAATGATTGCAAGATGTGAAACTTCACTTAACATCAAAGCTAAAAGCTAGCAAGAAATTCTTTTCCATGGTATCCTAGCAAATTTGGATTGAAAACATCTGGCACAAATTCGAGAGGAGCAAGCTGCCATTGCTGGGGGCTAGTCCATAGATGCTACAGAAGGTTATGGTCCAACTAGAGATAAGAGAAAAACTGTAAAACCTTCATCATGGCCAAAGATCAATGTAAGTTTTCTTCTTTATTCGTCCATTTATCTCTGAAAATGATGTGTTGTGTGCTTGAGGGAATAATGTTCAATGCAGCTAGCTTTCACACTTCTGACACACTATGGATTAGCAGACTCGTGCCATTCAGGTCCCGGGCTTCAACAACTTGAAGGCATTTGTGTTAAGTTTCTCACAGTTGTCTCTTGGAGCTCTTTCCTTTTAGTCTTCACGTTTGCCTCATCATTTGCCTATCAATGTGTTTTTAGATATATAGTCTCTGCAGCAGGAATTGGCACTGGTTACACGCTCCTTCCGCAGAGTGCTCCAAGGCTAAGGCATCCAATTTCTAGACTTTCACTATTTTCAACTAAACGATTTTCATTGTCCCAGAAGACAAATGTTCTCCCTAGCTACACGATCTCTAGAGAAAATGCAAGCTTTGGATGCTTGATAGTTGTCTATTCCAAGCAGTACCTTGCTCGTAGAAGAGAAGAGGGTTTAAAGAAATGAGCGCCAAAATTCCATTTGAAACCGGATAAGAGCCTTTTGTTTTCCTTTTGAATTAGGGTCATGGAGCACCAGAAGGCAAAGAACAAGGGGCTGCTGTGATTCCTGGTGAGCAACGCTGTGTACAAAGTTTCAAGAGTGTCATCCCTAGACTCATGATGAATTTGCTTGCAACAAGGAGGCCTACAAGACTTTTGTGGCAGCAATATCGATGGAGGAGGGCCAGCCACTGGGCCTGTGGGTGAAGGGGATGCTTGATGAAGGTGTGCTCTACACCGATGGGAACTACTTGATGGGACTGGCCTTTTGGATGGACAGGAACTAGTTTGCAAGCTAAGTAAAAGCTATCTATAGTCTCAAGGAAGTGTTGAGGCAACGGTATTGCTTCATCGATGAGTTCCTCTGAGGAAAAGGTTTCATTAAATTGAATTCTGATAGGAATCTGTATCAAAAGGAAACAGACACAAGCTTCACTGTTTATGTTAATGATTGTTTAGTTGTTGGCAACAACATAACAACACCAAGGAAAAGTTTAATTCAAGATTCAAGATGACTTATCTAGGTGAAGTGACCAAACTTCTAGGCATGGAAGTTATGCGTGATTGACAAGATGGTTCAATCAAACTGTCCCAGTCCTTATACAATTCTAAGTTGTTTGCTCCCTACACCCATGGTTGCTGGCATGAAATTCTCCAAAGAGATGGATGAACAATTCAATGATGGGGAGGACTGCTTTATCTTGTTAACAGCACATGACTAGATATCTCATTCGCAGTTGGACTCCTCATCAGATTCAATTCTTCACCAAATGTAGGTCATTAGCAAGCAGCTAAGAGAGTTCTGTGATATCTTCACAGCTGAGTTAGGAATAAAATTTTGTCACTCTTCAGATCACTTCTTGAAGTTTCTAGCCTACTCAAATACAAATTGGGCAGGGATATAGACACAAGACTTTCCACAACAGGAATCTACTATATATTGGTGGGAGCACTAGTGTCATGGACTAGCAAAAATAGGCCACTATTGCACTTTCAAGTTTAGAAGCAGAATACATGGCGACATCATTGGTAACAAAAGAGATAGTTTGGCTATGACAAATGTTGGTTGAGCTGAAGCAACCACAGTCATAACTGACTCCATTGTTCTACCAACAAAAGCACAATCTGAAAGTAGCAGAAAGATGCACACAAGGAGGAAGAACTCTGTATTTCAATTATATATGGATGGGTATATATACATAAAAACTACTACCACATAAGCATGACTACATGGCACTCATCTCTACCTCTAACACTCCCACTCATGATCAAGTGGCTGATCCAAGCTTGACATGCCTATGCTAGTCTAAGATGATGAGCATAGAGAGTTGATGAGAAAAGTATACAAAAATCTCATTAATCAACTACTCTTGGTCTTAATTTTTCTTGCACACACTCTTGCTCACTATTATAGCTTCAATCTATAAACATCCTTCCCAATTGCTACAAAGAATTGTTATGTATTATTTTGAATCTTAACCCAATTTTTGATGTGGGTTATTCAAATCTCTCAATCTCCCAACTTCTAGTAGCACCATACTTTCAGCATGAGACTTCTAGAGTGACAACTAAACCATAACTAGTAAATAATATTGGGGTACTTGGGTTGGCAACCTTGACTTTTCCAGAGTTAAGGCAAAATCTTAGATCTCAATAAATTTTAAGTGGCTATATTTTCAATTTCTTAATATTTTATAGTTAATTAGCTTAATTTTGCTTATACTAAGCTAGGCAATAAAGGAAAGAGGAAACAAGCATTGTGAAACTCTTACAAGCTTGTTGTTAATTGGTTTTATCAACTATGAAGCTGCTCAATTTCATTGCGAATGCCATACTGATGTTTTCATCCCAACAAGAATCCCATAACCGTGCCACTTAATTATGGCAGAAGTAAATACTCTGGCCACGCACTGTGATCAACGTGTTCTTGTCCCAACATGGCATTTTCTTGAGGTAGCCGGACTGATTATAACTTCCACGATTCGCCCGGGCATAGCACAAAAGATCTCGGAACATCGTCAAATGAAGGAAGGAGCTCTGGATGAAATATTGTAAAAGCATTCTATCAAATTATGAACAGAGTAATTGTACTATCGCATTGCCAATTTATCTCTAAATTTTTTTCGTTCATCACAGCTTTACGCATTGAATGTTAACTCTGAAGACATTCCGAAGGCTCCTGATGGCGTTGTGTCTCACTGCACTGCTAATCACCAAGAACCACAGATAAATCCTGTTCCCGGATGTAATTGCAGCGTCCATTCCTGTGGTTAACTGTACTGTGAACGATTTCCAATCTCTCACAATCCATGTTGGCACTTCTAAGAGAAAGAGATGGATTTGCAAGAAGAGTAAAAACGCAGGCAAAGATTGCAATCTTGAGAGGATCCGATTAATTTTGGGAGATGGATCGAGCTGGATCAAGGATGCGCTTCAAACGTGACTCTGGTCCATGGTGTCAAGTAAATCTCCACCTAGGCACGAACGAGCATTGGCTCGCCTAGAACGGACGGCTGGAACAGGGTTCATGTGATGATTAGCGACGCCGGCTGCGTGCCTGGGAGCGATGGTTGGCCAAAGCAGTCAAGGCGAAATCGCCGCAACCAACAAGAGTAAGCTGTGCACTGCGGTGAGATCATGGCGATTCCGGTGAGACAAAAACGCTGCTAATCGTTGGCCGCCGTGTGGAATCGGCAAGAGTTGCTTGCTCAGGGGTTTGGATTCGAGGTTTGTTTGCATCTGGCTAAGCAGGACTTGGCCGGGTGCGTTCACGTTTTGCAAGAAGGCTCAGCGGCTGGGTGAGATAGAGAGCTTGGATTCTTTGCAAGACATCCAATACGTGCTGGCGATGCAAAAGCCTAACAGGCATGCCAGACGATAGAGGACATTGCCACGTTTCATTGTTGGTGACGAGGTTTGAATTCGTGACTCAGCACGTGCATGCGGAAGTCCAAGCAGCAGAGAAGGCCAGTGTTTTCAGCGTAAAAAATGCGAGTAGAGATTTCTTGAAGATGTTCATGGATTATACCCCACACCCTTCCATTCCTAAGTCTTCAAAACACTAATTTGCTTATAGATATAGCCCTTTCCATGTAAGCATGAGAGCACCAAATTCGGCATAGTACGAGTTCGAATCCTTGCCGGAAAATAAAAGTTTGATGTGGGTTGGCCAGTCGTTTAGTTATGCCTTAACCCGGTCAACGGTTTAGTAGTCAACGATCGCGAGATTCGCAAGGGATTCTTCGTCCCATCTCACCGATGGAAAGCATTGCTTGCGAGAAGAGCTTCTGCACTACGCAAGGATACTTTGGCGTCCGTTGGTAAGTGTGGGATTTATGGAGGTGTGATTCACGATTTTCGGATTTGTTGCTTGACGAGCTCCTTGAGGAGATTCCTCTTCTTGATCCGGAAATCCATAGACAGCTGCTGATAGTGTTGTCGATTATCATCCTGCCGTATTATCATCCCCATATCCATCTCGATAAACCCCATAAGCCGGGAGTCGTTATCCTAACAATCTTTTTCAACAGTTACTAAGAGATTTTAAACATAGAATATTCGGACGTTTTAAACATTGTCGTCACCTTCTTTGTTGCATAGCAATGAGTTTTGCATAAGCGCCCCCGAGCTCGAGGAGCTTGGCATGCCTGCCTCTCTCCCTCACACTCCCATTCTCCATCACCACAATTGTGTTTGCAGACTGCACTGTCGATAGCCTGTGTGCAACGATGACCGTAGTGCGTTGCTGCTCCCCAACCAGCCGATCGATCGCTTGCTGGACAATCCTCTCCGACTCCGCGTCCAAGGCACTAGTGGCCTCGTCCAGCAGCAGCACTGCCGGGTTCTTGAGCATCGCCCGCGCAATGGCGATGCGCTGCTTCTGCCCGCCTGAAAGCTGGACACCACGCTCGCCGACGTTGGTCTCATAGCCATCCGGCAGGCCGCTGATAAACTCATGCGCATTGGCCTTCTTTGCTGCCGCCACCATCTCCGACTCAGTAGCACTGTAGTCCAAGTCCTCGCCAAAGTCCCTCCCGTAGAGGATGTTCTCCCGGATTGACACTCCGAATAGCACTGGCTCCTGCTGGACGTAGCCGATGTGCTTCCTCAGGCTTCTCAGGTGGAGAGTCTTCAACTCCCTGCCGTCCAGCATCACGCTTCCGGAGGTCGGGTCGTAGAAGCGCAGGATCAGAGCTAGCACCGAGCTCTTGCCGGACCCGCTTGCTCCAACCAGTGCCACGGTTGATCCAGCCGGGACCTTGAGGCTCAGGTTGTTGAGTATCAGAACATCCGGCCTCGACGGGTACCTGAAGCTCACGCCCCGGAACTCCACAGTCCCGGCAATCTTCTTGAGCTTGGTTGCTTTTGCTGCATCTGGATCGATCTCCGAGAGCCGGTTGGCAGTCTCGAACATAGAGATGGTGGCCTGGATCCCCTTCTTGAAGTCTGGAATGAGCCCGATGACTTCCACACAGTGGTAGGCGGTGTAGGCCACGATGGAGAAGGAGATGAGGAGAGGTCCAAAGCTGACTTCGTCTCGGCGGATGAGATAGGCGCCGTAGAGCATGCAGCAGGCGCTAGAGATGTACAAGAGGCCGTGAGAGACTCCGATGAACAATCCCACCATGCAAGCGCGCTTGAATCTCCGGCTTTTGGCGTCGTCTAGATGTTCCTGGAACTTTGACAGGATGCTGTCTTGAGCGCCGAAGGATAACACCGTTCTGATGCTGGAGACTGCTTCTCCTGCAACTCGACCAGCATTCTCGTGGGTTTTCTGGACGTTCGACCCGGCAAATCCATCTTTGAAGTAGGCAGCCTATCCATGCATAAGTCACGGTTTAAAGTTGGAAAATTGTCGAAGCCATCTTACCGCGACAGCGCTACCGAGCACTTGAAGAGGAAGGCTTGCGAGGGAAATGAGTCCCATTCTGTAGTCATAGACGGTGGCCAGGGTCAAGGCCAACACGATTCCCAAAACGTTTTGCAAGAAGTAGCTGTAAGTGTCGCTCAATACATTCCTCAACGTGGTCGCGTTCGCTGATAGACGTGCAGTCACCGCGGAGCTACTGTTCTCTTCGAAATCAAACCATCCAACTTCGTTCCTCAAAACTCCTGAAAACAAATATCAAAATAAACAGCCTACAGGACAGGTTACGTACCTTCCAGCGATTTCACTTGGACGTCTTGAGTGACTCTGGCGCCAACTTTATGGCAAAAGAAATACTGGACCACATTGCTTGCTAGTGTTGCAATTCCGAGGCCAATAAATCCCAAGGTCCACTTCATGGCTTCCTTCGTGCGCCTCTGCAGCAGAAGAACTAAGACGTTGGCCATAACCAAGGGAAACACAGCCGCTAGAATCCCAGAAGTTAAAGCTCCACTGGTTCCGATTATTGCAGAACCCCATACTCTCCTGAACCGTTCCTTGAACCACGACTTCACAGAGTAAGAGGTCTGTAACTTGGTGGCTCCAGGTCCCTGCTCCTCAGCAGCTTGAAAATTCTCTTGAACCGGAGGCATCTCGATTTGTGAGTTGAAAGACTCGTACGAAATCCTGGACGGCGAAGTCCATGGCGATCGTAATGGGGAGGCCCAGGGAGCTGCAATAGGTGTTCTGGAATGAAGAGGAGATGGAGACCTGTAAGATAAGTTTTAGAAGTGAAAATAAGTGATGGAATGATTTACCTGCTGCGAGTTCTTCTCTTTCTCGCTACTACAGCACTTTCCTGAGTCATTACGAGAGACTTGTAAGCACCGTTCTCACGACCAAGTAGCTCAGCATGTGTCCCACTTTCTATGATGCGACCTTTGTCGAAGACCAGTATGCAGTCGGCGTTTCGAATAGTTGACAAGCGGTGAGCAACGACAATAGTGGTCCGTCCTTGCATGATCCTGTCTAATGCATTTTGGACTAGAACCTCGGATTCAGAATCCAACGCGCTCGTTGCTTCGTCCAAAAGCATGACAGACGGCTTCTTCAGGATTGCACGAGCAATGGCTATTCTTTGCCTTTGTCCTCCAGAAAGTTGGATTCCCTTGTCCCCAACCTACAAAACAAAACATTATTAAATAGAAACAAAAAGGACGAGGAAGAAATTCACCTCTGTGTTGTATGCATCGGGAAGATCACATATAAACAGATGAGCTCCAGCAACCTTTGCTGCTGATATGAGTTCTTCATGGCTTGCATCTGGCTTTCCCATCAAGATGTTCTTCTTAATACTGGTGGCAAATAAAGTAGGCTCCTGGCTTACAAGTCCAATCTGTGCCCTGAGCCACTTAAGTTGCAAACACTTGATATCCCTTCCGTCGAGCTTCACTTCTCCTGCAAGAACAAGACGATTAGTCCAGTACTGAGTTTGCTCGACATTGTTCTTACCCTTCAGAGGATCGTAAAATCTCTCAATCAAGGAAATTACCGTGCTTTTGCCTGATCCACTTGATCCAACAAGCGCAACTATTTTCCCCTCCGGAATGTTTAGAGACAAGTTCGAGAATACAGGTACTTCGGGCCGTGCGGGATAGGCGAACGATATATTGCATAGCTCTATTCTTCCTCTGACACGCGACAAAGTTTTGCCTTGATCGCTGTTGTTGTTGATTCTTGGCTGCCTCTCTATAACTCTGAATAATCTGCTTGCGGCCGCTTTTCCTTTGGCTATAAAACCGAACACTTGCATGCAGTCTCCCAGTGCTCTGAAACGGATAAAAAGTTAATGAGACATTAACGCATGCTGTAAGAACTTACTTCCCGGATATTATACTGATGAAAATCAATGAGTTGACAGTACCTCCCTTGATCTCATGCTTCTCAACCAGTTTGCTACCGAACCAAAACTGCAACGTCCATGAAAAGTAGGAGATGGCAATGACTGTTCCAAGCCCCAGACCTTTGCTAAGTCCAGTCTTAGAGCTAAGCTTGACAGCATCCTCGAGAAGGTGTGCATACGAGTTGAGAGCTTTGGTTTCTCCAACGAAAGAGTACACAGTTCTCACTTGCGAGATTGCCTGAAAAGAGAGAGTCAGAGGGGAAAAAATGAAAAGAAACTACGTGAAAAAACACACCTGCTCAGCCACCAAGTCGGCACTTCTATACGCCGTGAGCGCTTGAATCACATACTTGGTGTAGAAAGCCACGAACATAAAACCACTTCCAAGTAGCAGCGGTGTTGCTGTCAGCCCCATGAGCCCCATCTTCCAGTACACAGAGATAGAGATCACTATACCGCCCAGAAACACAGCAAAATTGCTGACACACGCACCGATCTGGTCGAAAGAAACATGAGAAAACCACTAGAACTGGCGATGGAGCTCACCTTCTCCCCCACTGCATCGTGAATGAGGAGAATATCGCTCGAGACAGCGGTCACAATGTCCCCGACCTTGGCCTCCGTGTCGTAGAAGGCGATGTCCTGCTTGAGCAGCGAATCCAGGTACCTCGTCTTGATGTGCGCGGTCTGCCGCTCTCCAATTTGCGTCCAGCACACATTCTCTGCGCCATAGCGCCATCGTCAAAACCACTCAAGAACCCTAAAATTTTGAAACGATAAAGAAGCATACCTATTGCCGACGAGACCATCGTTCCAACGGACACATACATCACGATCACCACGATCTGGAATCGAAATATCAGGCACAGATCCAACAGAAACGAGAGAGATCGGCTGATCGGACCTTGACGACTCCACGGAAGGCCGCGTCGGGCGACAGAGCAAACGCATTGTTCATCAATCCAAAGAGCAGCACGACCGCGGGGCCGGAGAGGCCGTGAGCGATGGCCGATGCCGTGCCGACTGCGATCATCAGCCAGTCCAATCCATTCGCGAATTGGAACAGCTTCCAGTAGGAAAATCCCTCGTCTTCTTGCGCTTGATCCGCGTTCTTGGTGGCATCGATGCTGTAAACGCTGAGAGAGTCGGCTTCCTCGGCCAGATCTTTCTCGTTGACGGCGCCATAGCCGTAATCTCTATCCCTCGCGACGACGACCGAGTGCGCATCCGAGATATCCCTTTGCTGCTGCTGCGCATGCGATGGCCGCGCTAGATTATCGTAAGATCTGGTGCGCTGCTGGAGATCTTGGATGCTGAGAATGCTCTTGCTGTAGTAGCTGCTACTGTCGATCGACCGCGATCCAGACTGCTGCTCCATGGCCGCGTAGAGCGCCGATAGCTCCGCCCCCACGCTCTCGGAATCATAGTCTTCCGGGAAGAAATCGAAATCCCTCGAGCCATTGTCGGATTCTACCATGGTCTCACGAGCGCGTGGATCATTGGGACGATCCCTGTGCCTCGCGCGCTTATAAAGCAAGAAAATCCACGAAGCTTTGGTATGAACGACGATCGTCCAAACAGAACCAAATGGCCAAATGGCGCTTTGTGCCAAAGGACCAACCAAAGGAACACCACAAAAAACTACAAACGCAGGATTCCTTCTCTTCTTCTTTGTTTTCTACTTAGAGAGCTTTACGTTTCTCTGTTCTTTCCTAGTATGTAACTTCCTACAGTCTTGAAAGTTAGAGCTTGATCGATCGATCAAGCCAGTGATTCCTTCTCTTCTTCTTTGTTTTTTAAATCTCAACTTTTCTTTGTTCTTCGCTGCTACCATAGTCTATATGAACTGTTAACTTCCAAGTTAGAGCATTTCTTTTATGGTGCCTCGATCCAGTGGCCTTAATCGATCGATCAAGCCAGTGATTCTCTCCCTAGTTTTCCCTGTTCTTCACTAGTACCATGATAGCCTACATGAACAAGCTAGTGTCAACTTCCTAGAGTCTTGAAAGTTAGAGCATTTCTTCTTTGGTTACCTCGATCTAGCGATCGAGCCAGTGAGTTCCAAGCCTTACTGCTTGGAAGAGCTTCCTCTACAAACACAGACCAAAAATATGCATAAAAACTCTCAAGAGCACACGAAAGCTCGAGGAGAGAGCTTCTTACTTGGAGTTGTCGCAGTGAAGTTTTCCAGAGCTTACTTGCTTTTAGCTCACTTGCTAAAAAGTGCTTATTTCCGGAAGATCAGTCTCAAGAGAAGCATGGAAAGTTGCGACTCTAGAGCGAAAATGCAAGCTGTGATCTCAAGCTAAAACTTTGCTAGCTTTCCCTCTCCTGACGTCCTTGTCCGCGATGCCAATCCCCGTTGTCGCAAAAATCAATCTCCGGTGAGCAACGCCGTGTACAAGGCACTCCAGGAAGCGCCTGGAGCAACACAAGGCCGAGCCCCTGGACTCACGACATCTAGCTTTGCTTGCGAGGCAGGAGGATCGTGCTTGACGAAGGCGCGCTCTACACCCCTTCAATGGCGCTCTTATCCTAGCCGTTGGTTTCAAATGACATTTTTAGAGGGAAACTCTCGAGAATATGCCTCAAGATCTGGAGCCCTAAAAACAGACAAGGGGAAATGAGCACATCGTATGACTTCTCGCGGGCTTCATGGGAGCTGGGCGTTGAGGCGCAATGAGGCCAGAAGCCCAAGGGCATGTCTACGGTGAGTGCCGGCATTCTTTCTTGGGATTTGCTGATGATCGCTCAAGATTGCTTTTCTTGAATAAATATCGCCTCATAATCTAGAGGAAAAACAATAAAGAGCACAAGGCTTTACCTGGCGGAACTCGACGTAACTGTAGTGGCAGGATGCAGCAATGGGGGCTTCCTGGAGAAGAACAACTCCAATCGAGAGCGTTGGTGCAATGAAACAGGCCTGCAAGAAGAAGACGCTGAGCTAACCCTGAGAAGCAAAGGACGAAAAAACTCCACAGCACGTCTCATCATGCTGGGCTTTCCGCAAAATGTGAAATCCACACCGCTGCCATGGCAGCAATCTAAAAAGCTCGAGGAATGGAAGTTGCAATTGACACAATACGTGTTCCAAGGGTAATAAGGTCCAAGAGTGACCAGAGGTTTAAATTCAGTATTGACATGATATAACACAAATTTATTTTCACTGTCACTGTTCGTAAGGCAAGAGGCGAGGTGGTGGACGATGGAATAACAGCATGGTTTCACCGGGATTTCATCTCAAGAGGTAATTTCACTTCCATGCCATGCGAATTTTTTCTTATCAATTTTTTTTCTCTAAGGCACGGTATAACAGATGTTAAGGCTCTCATGCCCATGCTCTTGGTCGCTATTCGACGAGTTATCAGGCTTCAGGTAAGCACAAGTTCTCATAGTTTTAATTTGATCGTTTTCCAGTCCCTTGTCTATGGGCTAGAAAAAAATACTATGACTTAATCCACGATCGAATCGATTCTTTCAGGCGTTCTAGGATCTTGCCTCCATTCCTTTGGTGAGAGGAGTATCTAAAGCTTTCCTCTCATTCGCGAGAAAACTCTATTAACGATTGTTAAATTCAAATTAGTTCAATTACAAGAAGGGTTTGAGGAAGAGAGGTTAGCGAGGGAAAGCTTCGCGCCATGAGCGATTCTGAGATGCTCGAAGAATGAATCGTCTGCTTCTGCATCTGGGCAGCGATCTACCGGGCCGGATTGAAAATGTAGGCAATTCCAGTGCGTTCTTGTTCTTCTCGGGCCCCAGGAGCGTGTGAAATCCAGCCGTGTCGGATTCGAGTGCGTTCTACAGCGAAATCGGCCCAAGGGCGCCAGATTCCGGTGCATGCATTGCCGCAGTGGGGGCGGCGACGATGATGATCGATCATGGAGCGATTCACAATGGTGTTTCGGACCAGACAGGAAGAACAACAGAACGCGATGGTTTTATCACAGAGCCGAGACGAGCGCAAGCTGCAAAAGAAAAAAGAATGAGAGCAAAACTAGAACTAGAGATTACCTCGTTGGGCAGGAAGTCGGACATATCTGGCTTCCGGGGGAAGGCAACGCTCGTCTCGGCGTAGCGCGGGACACGGATGCACACCTCGTCCGTGACGTTGTTGATCGCCTTTTGATCCTTGCTCACAAACCACACCCTGCGCATGAGGTCGCGCGGCTTGCAGATGATCCTGTGCCGCTCCAGAAACGTCTCCACCAGGAGCCCCATGCGATCCTCGTCCAGCAAAACTTTCTCGTAGAACTCGCGGTTGCCCGTCACAAACACCTGATGAAACTCGCACAGTCGGTAAATCGAGATAGAAAGAGTGAAAGAAGAAACTTTCTCACAGTGCCAGGAGTGTAACGCGATTCTAGATTCGCACGGACGTAGGAGAGTAGAGAAGGAAACATCCTCTCCTGAGCATCCTCGTCCGCGATGCCAATCCTGCCAAACACCCACTCGCGCCCCTTGTCGCAAAAATGCGAGGAGGGATAGTCTTGCCACCCCGGCTTCTCCAAGTAGTTGACGTCGGTGTAGAGCGCCTTCTCGTCAAGCATCCGCTTCACCCACAGGCCGAGCGGCCGCCCCTCCTCCTCCATCGCCACCACAAACAGCTCGTAGGCCTCCTTGTCGCAAGCAAATTCATCGTGAGTCCAGGGACCATAGTGCCGAAACTCGGCCGTTTGCCGCTGGTAGACCTCGTTTTCCACCTGACCCTCCTTGAGTGTGTGGAGCGCCTTGTACACGGCGTTGCTCACCGGGAATGGCAGCCCCTTGTTCTTCGTCTTGTGGCGCTCCACCACCTTGAGCGCCTTGGCGCACTCCTCGCCCGTGTCGCAACACCTCTTCTTCATCCTTTGCCCTACTTTTGTCAAGCAAGAGGGCTTTTATCCTAGCCGTTGGCTTCAAATAGAATCTTTAAGTAGAAAGGGCGGGAATTTAGGCCTGGCGGCTTGGATGCTGAGAATGCTCTTGCTGTAGTAGCTGCTGCTGTCGATCGACCGCGATCCGGATTGCTGCTCCATCGCGACGTAGAGCGCTGATAGCTCCGCCCCCTCGAGCCATTGTCGGATTCTAGCGCTCACGAGCGCGTGGATCATTGAGACGATCCCTGTGTGCCTCGCGCGCTTATAAAGCAAGAAATCCACGAAGCTTGGTCGTCCAAACAGAACCAAATGGCCAAATGCCGCTTTGTTCCAAAGGACCAACAAAAGGAACACCACAAAGAACTAAAAACGAAGGATTCCTTCTCTTCTTCTTTGTTTTCTACTTAGAGAGCTCTACGTTTCCCTGCTCTTCGCTACGTATAAGGAAACCTGCGCTAGTATATATAACTAAGTCTTGAAAGTTAGAGCACTTCTTCTTCGGTACCTCGATCCAGCGACCTTGATTGATCAATCTAGGCAGTGAGTTCCAAGCCTTACTCCTTGGAAGGGCTTTCTCTACAAGCACAGACCAGGAACACACGTAAAAACTCTCAAGAACACATGAAAGAGGAGAGAACTTCTTACTTGGAGTTGTCATCCTTTTCACGCTCTGCATTCCACGAGCAATGCTTCCTGGCCTGCCGGAAGCACGAGTCCCACTCCCTGAGCGCCGCCAGGCAATCCTCGTTGTCCCAGGAAGAGCTGCGGTTGTTGGCGATCTTCGCAGGAGAGCTGAGTGGAACTTGCCATCCATCCCGTGGAGACCAGTTTAGCGCCGGACGAAGCTCGTGCAAGGCAACCACGTAGCGCCCGCCTTCGCCGTATGGAGGACTCGAGCCCTCGAACTAAACCGAAACAAAGCCAACGACGATTAGAACCAAAGACAAGTTTTCTCGGCTAAGCTCACCACTCCCGTGTGATCGTCGATGACTTGCACGACTTTGCCATACCACCGAGCGCTCCTCCACGGATAGTCGGCCTCGTCGCCCTCTTTCCACTTCCTGATCACCTGGATCTCCGGGAACTTGGGCCTTAGCATGATCTCCCTCCATCCCGAAGGTGGAACGCCTGGAGGATGCTGGTAGAGCGGGATCGTAGTCTCTCCTGGAACAAGCAAGCTAGAAATCGACAAGCTTCGAGAAAGGAAACGCTTCAAGAATCACGCAAGGAAAGACTCAAATCTCTAGCGAGGTGTGACAAAATGTAGCTCCACCTTCGTAGTCGAAATAGCTCAGCGTGCAGTAAACATCCTTTCGCAAGCGCTCGATCTTCTCGATCTACAAAACCATTCCTGCGATTATCACAGCTCCCAGTAGACCTCTCACCTTGGCACGGAACCAGGCTCCTCGAAATCCATGGTTGTAACTCTTCTCCTCGACCTCGTCTCCCACGGCGAAAGGGATCGGGATCCCAGCCATCGCTAGAACCCTAATGCCATGAGCTAGCGTACTGTATAGCCTTCACACACTATATAGCTACTCAAATAAATATTAAAGAAAACGTTTAGCATGGCCGCGCGTCACGGATCAACTACCGCGCGGCTCGGTGGACCGGTATTGTAAGTGCCGCACGGTACGCTCGTTGTTGCTCTTCCATTCAATGGTCAGTGGCATGGAACAAAGACGTCCTTGTAAACACACACGTAAGGCACGTCACAGCCGATGTAAGGACCAGCCCAAAGACCCTCGTTGACTTCTCCGGCGTTCCACACGGATGCGTAGAGAAAGCAAGGCCCCGTAGGAAATCCTTCGTCTTCTTCTTCTTCAAGAGCTTCTTCTCCTGCACCCTTGCCTTCTTTGACTCCTTCTCCTTCTCCAACTTTCCCTTCGTGTTCTTCCGGGCCTTCCTTCGTTTTCTTCTCGGCTACCCGGATGGACTTCCCGTCCACGAGCCACTCGATCCTGTCCGGCTCCCACTTGATCGTATACTCGTGGAACTCTTGCGAGCTGTCGAAGCCGAGATCGTGGATCACCTCCCGGCCGCCCGTGCCGTGCGTGTAGAAGTTGGTCTGGACGGTCCCCTTGTCCTTCCCCAGGAACTCGAAGTCGATCTCGTCCTGGTCTCTCGGCCCCTCGAGCGTCGAGAGGTAGAAGCTCGAGTTGAGGCCGCTCGTGTTCCCCGACGGCGTCTTGATCTTGGCGCTGAAAGTTCCGCTGCTAAACCTGCGGGTGCTCCTCCAGCGAGCACCACCGCGCTCATCGAAAGTCACCGAGATCTCTCGCTGCTCTGGAAAATGCTGGCATACCTCGGGGCAGTAGTCCACCGCGATGGCCGATAGCTCCTCCGTCCTGTGCAGATCTGGGACTTTCTCCATGGCTCCAGCGATTGATGATTATGATGCGCAAAGGTCTCGAACCCGTACACACCACCTCCGAGTTAAGCCCTCCGAGTTAAGCTCGTCCAGCTAAGTAGAGTTTATGTCTATCAGTAGAAAACAAATGTGAGCTCCAAACTTACGTCTATCTCAACAGATCAACAGATCTTGGTACTAAGTTCGCGATTGTCTATCAGGCTTGGATCTCTTCCAGCCTCGAGATCGAATAGCATCTCCAGAGTCTTTCTTTCATTGTTTCCATCAGTTACGGCTCTGGTTTTTCGATTCTCTGCGTCGTTTAAACTTTCTCTTCCTTGTCTTCTTCATGAGTCCCTGGAAGAATACCACATTTTGTTAGTATCACGCAAAAAGAGAAAAAGGGTAAACGGAGGTATCTATTTCCATTGATACCCCATTCACTCTCAATAGATCGAGAACCGACTATCTGATTAAAATGATCAGCACAAGAAAAATGTTCAAAAACTATGGCACTCCACCTCTACAGTTTCAGCACGCTTTTCAGCCGCAATCCTGAAATGAAGCCCTCAATAAGGACGATTCTGTAGAAAGAAAAAAGAGAATTTTTGAGTCTCAATAAGAAAAATAAACAACAAAGCACTGAAAAAGCCTAGTAACCTTACTGGAAGGATGTATTACTTGCGGTCGTCAATACCCCGTGAGCTGCCGCTTCAAACTGCCTGGACTAAATTACACATTCCGAAAGATACACAAGAACTACTTCAAAGCAAGAAGTTGAGATTTCTGAATACTGCCTGTTTTCCTGCAACATCCGAGTCTTCTTACTGCGTTGACATGCAAACCGATTTGACGCCTGGCATGATCTTCTCTTTGATGTTCTCAATCAGGACATACATCTGACGAAGAACAGCGATCGGCACCAGGAGTCCATGAATTAATTTTGACTACGTTGGAGTTTCAGCAGTGTCTTCTAGTTTCACATCTGAAGTCTCTCCACCCTCCTCGTTTAACAGCAATCTCTTCCGGAGGATGGGGTATAGTTTTATTGTTTTCCTTGCCAGCATCCTCCTCATGGACTTGTCTGCCGTGCGTCCTGATTTGAAAGCGACCCACTGTTCCTTCTGTTTATGATGTCCTTGTACTACGTTCCACGGTTTCAGGGTATATAGTCTGCTTCCTCGGTCGAACCATTCTGGAACCAACTTTGGTTTCCGTCGTGAGCAATGCCTGAAAAATAGATATTTAAAACGAATTTGCTATGTTAGTTCGAGTCACTTCCTGCACTTAAGCTTCCGTTTGTAAAGAGAGAAGAAATTGTAATAGTCATTGCACTACCTACAAACATAAGGACAATTAAGAACCAAGAGACAATGTAAAGAACAAGAACTTTGGGGAGAGAAAATAGAAGAAACTAACGCTGCGCCATCGAGCTCAAAACGCCAGAACTTACGCGCCATTTGTATTTTTCCCTAATCCACGTTAATTAATTAATTAATTAAGATTTTAATTCACGACAGATGAAATATGGGTTTTATTAACTACGCTTTTTGTAAATAACAGTGGCATAGCTGAAGATTGAATCTTTTGGGGAGATTCTGGAGTTTGATCTCTCCTTGCTCCCAATGGACCTCTTGCTTTACAAATATGCGGCATTCTTTCTTCTAGCTTGGCTCTCGATCTCGATCAAACTGGCCTCAGCAGATGCGATTTTCCGAAAGATTTCATATTCGGCGCTTCAGCATCGGCGTTCCAGGTAGAAAAATCTCCGGCCATATTTCTCTCGTTAAAACTTGCTCCTTTCCTCTGTTAGTACGAAGGCGCTGTGAATGAAGGCGGGAGAAAGCCCAGCATCTGGGATATCTTTGCTGCGAACCCAAGTTGGTTTCTTTAGTCTCTTGCAAAGTTCTAGCTCTCATTTCAAGTGTTTCTGCCATTCAGGAAACATTGCGGATGGAAGTAGTCCAAACATCACGGATGATCAATACCATCACTACAAGGTTTGTGCAAAGCCGAGCTTTCTAAAATCAAAACCCATGAATTTTACCTTTCCAGGATGATGTTCTCCTGCTCAAGAACTTGGGGATGGATTCGTACAGGTTCTCAATCTCCTGGCCTCGAGTTTTCCACGGTAAGGAGGATGAACTCAAGAATGTGAAACTTTAAAAAGTCTCTTTTGGCAGACGGTCGCGTGAATCCCGAAGGGATTGCGTACTACAACAACTTGATCGATGCTCTACTGGAACACGGTAAGATCCAATTAATGCGGAGGATAGTTTTTATAAGATTGAAAGCACTGTTTACTTTTAGGCAGGAATCAAGCCTTTTGTCACGATCTATCACTGGGAATTTGGACGATAAGTTTGGAGGATGGCTAAGCCGAGACATCGTGTAAGTTCCGGAAAAAGTTCTGCAAAGTTCTTCTTTGATGGAAAACTTCTCTCGATGTTTTGCAGGGACGAGTATTTGCGATTCGCAGACTTTTGCTTCCAGGCCTTCGGCGACCGCGTGAAAAACTGGCTAACTTTCAACGAGCCACACCAGCTGGTAAACGGAGGCTACGTCCAGGGATACTACGCGCCCGGCCGATGCACAGGCTGCCCGCAAGGAAAATCGAGCACGGAGCCATACATCGTGGGTCATCATCTCCTGCTAGCACACGCCAAGGCCGTCAAACTCTACAGGCGTAAATACAAGGTTCGCTTCCTCCAAAATGAACGTTTTTTTTTTATAATTTCCCTCCAGTCCTTATCTTGATTGACAAAGCAGGTCAACCAGCGTGGCGTCATTGGAATGACGATAGACTCGTTTTGGTATGAACCATACTCAAGCCTTCTGAGAGATATCGCAGCTGCTCGTAGAGCTCTCGACTTTGAACTTGGATGGTATCTAATTACGTTTGGAGATTATCCACAGTCGATGCGTCTCTACGTCGGGGATCGCTTGCCGGCTTTCACTGTCGAAGAGTCGAGAGATCTTCGAAACTCCATGGACTTTGTGGGCCTCAATCACTACACTTCTCGATACACTCAAGACAATCCATCGCCTAGCAACGTTCGTCCCGGCTACGAGAGCGACTCCCATACACACTTTCTAAGTAAGCAATAGATTGATAGTTTCCTTGTTGTGCATTTATCTCATGAGCTCGATTTTTACATTTCAGCCGAAAGAAACGGGATTTCTATCGGAGGCACGGTAAATAAGCTCCTAAACAATTTCTTTTTATCCTGATCTCGGGTCTGTTTGGATTATAGACTGGAACCTGGATTTATGTTGTGCCTTGGGGGCTTTACAATATACTCAACCACGTCAAGGAGAACTACAACAATCCTCCGATTTTCATCACGGAAAATGGTGGGCTTGTCATTCTTGTCACCGGTTTTCTCAGGTCCAATTTTCCAGGATTGGTGGACGTCGCCGATTCGAACACTTTTAGTGACAGGTTCATAAAGGATGATGCAAGGGTTCAGTTCTACGAGTCGTATCTCACGAGGTTGCAGCAAGCCATCGCGTAAGCTTCCATAGGCCTAGTTCTTTGGAGGAAAACTATTTCTCGTCTAAACTGTAACTCTCAGGAACGGTGTGGATGTTCGTGGCTACTATGCGTGGTCTTTGCTAGACAATTGGGAGTGGGATAGCGGATTTAGCCAAAGATTTGGTCTCTATTACGTGGATTATTCAGCGCTTTAATCAGTTTCTCTCAAACACAAAATGTAGTGGTAAGTATCTCTGTTTTTCTTTTGATGGACTTAATCTGGTTTTCTACAGCACTTGAGACTATGTAAAGCCAAAATCATTCTTTATTTTTATATCTCTGGAAAGATTAATTGATCAAATGAAGACCATGCTGTATGTTAAATGATTACTAAAACAATATTATGTATTTAAAGAAAAAAATATCCAAAAACAAAATATGTGAGGTCCAACAATGTCATATACTAATATTAGCATAGTGGGATTTTAGTAAGTATCAGATTGATTTTAATTTAAACCACTCACTAAACTAGAGTTTTTGGGCTAATTAATATGCCAACTATAGATAACACATCATCAAGGAGTGAATCACCATATTTAAGACTTAAAGAAATTTAATACTATAAACTAAATGCAACTAAATGGTAAAGTGTAAACATCATGAACTTTTTTTGAAGTTGTTTCCTTGGCGATGGTCTAGACTAAAGTATGTATCAATGAAGATGTCAATATTTTCTAAGCAGGGGAGGCCATTTTTTGTATTCTCTTTCTATATTCCAAACATTCACATTAGTGGAAATGAAGGGCATTTTTCCTTGTCCTGAGGAGTGCTTAGATTTAGGATTTTGGTTTAAATATAACTTTTGCATCATTTAAATCTATTCTTTCTTTCCTTTTAGGGTTTTGGTTTAGATCTAGCTTTTCCATTGTCTAGATCTCCCTTTCTTTCTAATTTTTTCTCATTTCCCTTCTTTTGCTCTTTTTCTTTCACTCAATCTTCATGGCAAAGTAGTATTTTCCTCCTTTAACTTTAGAGTAGCAGTTAATGCTATTGCTTAATGCTATATGATTGCAATTGAACAACCAAACTCAGTTGATGGTGGCATTCATGGCACATGGTACAACTCTTTTTGCTTTTGGTGTCAATCCTGTTCAACTAGAGTTCTTTCGTGGGAATCCTGGGGATGATGTGTATCATTGATTTGATCACTTCATGGTGATTGCCACATATCATTCTTGGGATGATGCCCGACGTTTGCATAAGTTTCCCACGTATTTCCAAGGGAGGGCACTGCAGTGGTACAATGGTTTGAGTGAAGCCACTTGTGGGGATTGGAGTGTTCTCCTGAACGTCTTCAAACACACATTCAAACATGCCAACAATCATGATGATGTCTTTTAGCAATTGCATTGTCTTTGTCAAAGGCTATTTAAATCGGTGATGCAATTTGGTGTTCGTTTCTGAAGCTTCTTGCTTTGTGCGAAGCCAAATATGTCGAAGCAAATCAAGCTTGAAATATTGTGGCCAGCACTTCGTCAAGATTTTGTTA